GGACGGCTAGCGCAGATAGCCCTCGTGTAGCTTTGCGCGAAATTCAAAAACAAAGAAAAAAGTAGAGCAAATTTAATCTGTATAACAAGAAAACACGTTGACACACGCACTACCGTTTTACTGGATGTTATTTTCTTCGTGTATACTTGAAGACAACCAGATATATTCAACAATAATAGATATTCCCTTTAACCCTACTTTTTATACTAATGGTACTACTGCACAAAGTAATTATTTTTTTATTAAATAATGCTCGAAAGAACACAAAATAATAAGATGCAAAAAGGAGAATGTGTCCCATAACTATCACAATTTTTTATGGCTTTCTAATTATACCACAAACGTCGTTAAAATTTAAGTAAAACTGGTCGAAATGTTTCCCGTAGGAACAAAAAGTAAACTTAATTCGAAACTATTAAGAAAAAAAAAGTAGAATAATAGCCATTTCAATGAAGGAACCCTTGGTTTTATATTGATTATGGATAATATAGGGTTAAAAGTCGTAGAAAACTATTGGCAAGTTCTGAAAGGGAAGACGGACAGGTGGGCGTGGCAAGAGAGGTCTAATTTTCTATTTGATATCTCTGTAACTAATTAAAGGCTGTAAATATTATGCTTTGCCTGAGCAATGACAATATTATACTGCCCCATCCCCTACAAAAGGGTTAAAAAGAGACGTAGGCCTGCCTTTCTCAGAAGAACAGTTGTGACAAGCACGAGCTTGTTGTATACCAAGCTATCCTAAGCGTTTTTACTTTACGCCTCTGTACTTGTTACGATGTTGTTCTTCAAGTTTCTAGGTCAAGAGGTCGCGGGTATCTTTAAATGATACATTTTACTGTTGTTAATTGTTACGTATAGACAGATCAAGTCTTACTATTGAGAAAATGAATATCAGAAAAATCTGCAAGTATCCGCGTAAATCATAGGATTCTCAGAAAGATGAATCTATGAAGGAGACAGGTGGATGAAGCGAGAAGTGCCAAAGGACTGAAGATGAAATAGTCATACCTGGAAACTCGAAAGAGGATGATAAACTATTGAACCAAAGAGACAGTGTGGATACTTCTGATCAAGGAAATGAAGAAATATTGGGCGAACCCACTAGCATTGGAGAACCGAGCAGCAACAGTGGAAAATTAAATCTGCCTAGGTCGACTCTTGGCGAAGGTGGTCCGGCTAACATATTCCAAATGCCCAACAATGGACCAATTCGACCTGATCTTAATAAGCCCTGCTGCTTTCCAAAGACTTATGGACGAAAATTCATACTTGAATGGTATAAAGCATATCCTTGGCTTCAATATTTTGCATCTACTCACAAAGTTTTACTGTTTTCTCTGTCGCCATTTTACTACAGGCCCTAAATATCAAGCTGAGCAAGCTTTTCTGTCTGAATGATTCAATACGTGGAAAAAGTGAAAGGGTGAATCTCTAAAAAACAATAATCTTCTCAAATGCAAGCAGTCTGATGCACGTTTGAACAATGTGTGCAAATATAATGCTTATTTAGAATCAAAGCTTTATGAGAAAATACTAGCAGATCGTGTTAATGAAGCTCACTGACCGATTGTGGAAAAAATAGGGAATGCATCAAAATACTTGGAGATACGTTCAGGCTTACAGCTGTCGAAAAAATACCTCTGAGGAATCATCGTGAAGAAGACACAGCTGAAAATAAAGGAAACTTTATGGAAATATTAAACTTTTTAAGGACTTATTCCCAGATCATAAATTAACAACAATTGAGAAATATGCACACCGCAGTGTACAAGATGCCATTTTGTATGTCCTCAGTGATATATTTTTGGACAAAATAAAATAGAAAATAAGAGAAGCTCAATAATTTTTTATCTTAGTCGATGGAACTAAAGACCTGTCCAAAGAAGAGTAGATGAGTTTGGTATTTTAATGATTCAGAGTTCATGGAGAATTTTGAAGTCGACTCAGAATCGTTGGCCAAATATATTCTGGAGCAGTTAAAAGACAATGGACTTAATATCACAAACCTGATTGGTAAAGGATATGATGGCATTGCTGTCATGTGCGGCAAGTGCTCTGGGTTTCAACAGAAAATAAAACAAATCGTACCTGAAGTATTGCACATCGTCCTAATTTGGTCATCATAGAAAGTGTGAAATCTGTTACCTCTTTTTCTGACTTTTTTCTTAAGACTTACTATAATATTTTAAGTGGTTCTAATGTTCACACACACACAAGTTCAAAGAAAAAAAGACATGCACCCATATGAAAAGCCTATAGAATTTAAAACAATGTTGGAACACGATTGGCTTGCCAGGTGCATGCTGGAGGTGCAATTGTAGCAAGGTCTGACTGTTTTATTAAATATCTGAGGCATGTTGACATAAGTGCCAGCAATCAAGACTGTGCATTAAATGTCCAATCTACGTTGGTGCAACCAGAAATTCATATATGTATGCAGTTTGTGAATGACATCTTAGGTGAAGAAAAAGGAGCGTCAGATAAGCTGCAAAGGTCCAAGTTAGATTATATGAAAGCAGCAGATCTCACTGAGAGTCTTCTAGCAGAGTTGCAAACGTACAGATGTGACGAGGAAAATGTACATCATTTTCAACGTTCGCAGTTCTAACCACACTTAGGACACTGAACACCATACGAGATTCACCTTGCAGCCCACTATAGGCTCAATCTTGAAGACATACAAATGGAAATGAGGTAAGCTAAGAGAACGAATGAGCATTCAGGTGCAACATTTAGAGCAGTCGAAGAGTTTGCAGTACATCTCTAACCCCTATTTCTGGCTTTTACTAAACTTTAGAATTTTATACAGATAGCAATAACTCGCCCAATTAGCACAGCCAGCTGTGAAAGGAGCTTTAGCAAGCTAAAACTGATTAAAAATCACTTTAGAACCAATACGGCAGATAAGAGACTGAAGATTCTAACAGTAATTAGCGTGCACAGAGAAAGGTGCTCTTTCTATTGATCTTAATGATGTTGTTGACATGTTCATTACTAAGTTTCCAAATACAAGGTTAACATAGGTTTAAAGTCGAAGAGGATGATCGTTCCAATTGGTGTCTTGGTAAGTTCGTGCTTATTCATTATTGATCAATTAAATTCTAAAGGGACTTGTAACCCCCCCCCCCCAAATGCTAGATACCCAAGAATGGTCAAAAACCTTCTGATCCTTTCCAAGGTCAGTGAGTACTTTGGAGCTTCAAAATTCAATACAAAGTACTATTTGAAACCCAACATTGGATCAATGTAATTTCTCATGCTAAAAATTTGGTGGTGGGAATAACAAGTCCTTTCAAAATTACACGTGTATAAGATGTTTTGTTTTGCCCCCCAAATTTTGGCTTGCCTCCCACTTATGTAACAATAGATATGCTTTATTCATAACCATCTGTGTCCCATGAAATTTGGTAGGATAAGTGTATAATTGCCGTGTTATGCTTTGAATTATATTTTAAATGTATGTAATAGGTCTGGGCTGGCGGTTTCTGATGGTCCATTAAGCTATTTTTTTCTCTGTAATGTGAAAATAAAGATTAGCTCAGGGAAAACTATGATTAGGGATGGGACAACTAGCCCAATTTCTCAATGGTAGTTGGAAGTCGTGTGACCTATAAAATTAAACAAGGATGAAGGGTGAGTAAACTTTGTCAGTATTTAACTATCAGAGGGCGTGATATAAATAGCACAATATATTCATTAACATCACCAAGACATAAGGATTATCTAATTGTCAGGTTTTTGTATAGAGCCAGATTCTTTACACTAGCTGCCTGTGATATGTTGGCGATAAATGTCAACAATAAAAGGACAGCACACAATCCGCTAGTTTTAAAATAATATATTCAAAACAAGTCAAACGTATGTACAAAAAATCATTACACATTAGTTACATTAGTTGTATGTAAAACTCTAAATAATTCTATTTTCTTGTTAAACGTCCACACATACCAGTTCAGTTATTTTGGAACCCAACTGACAAGACGAATTAGTTTTCTCTACTCTGTTTCTTACTGTACAATTTGCGATAAATTCCCTTACATTACCCCGTGGGTTACCATATGTGTATCCAGAACTTTCAATAATTGTTACCTTTTTGTCAAAGTCCACACAGACTGGTTCAAATATTTTAGATCACCATTTGACAAGTCAAATTATTATTCTTATCTTTGTTAACTGTAAAACACACTTTAAAATATCTCCCGTTTCGGCTAAATTACCAATCAAGCAATTTGACTTCATTTTCATTAACTTAACTTTTCCTCACTTGGTAGCCCATATATATATATAGTCTCCCAGTGGGTCAGCGGTAAGTTGTAAGATGTCGTGTTTACCAACGTATGTTTGTTTGGTCATGTATGTAGATTTAATCAGGTTTTTGATATTAATCATACAAAATTACGAGCATAAGTCGTTGTATATTGAATAATAAACAGACAATGGTTTTAATCAAACTTGTAATAATAGTAAAATACACATAACCAAATACACGTGGTTAAAATAATACACATCGAATGAAAGAGCGTATTTTGTATCGGTATGCTATTGTGTTCAAAGTACACAGAGTTTGATATCACGTGATCATTTGTGTTGGATATACTAGACTGTTTGGTGTAAGAGTTATTATTTAGTTCATTTAGTGACCTAATATTTAACGATTATTTAGTTTTCACAACAAGAGTGTTAAAACTTAATCATTTTAAAGGTTTATTACACAAGTTTGTTACGTAACTCGGTAAGAGTCGTACGTTGTGTGTGTAGTTGAATTGTTGTAATTTGACGTCACATCACTAGAACCTTCTGTGTATTTTTCTCGTTGCTTTAAGTGAACATTGTTACATCATAGCGTCTCGTAGTTTGTAGAAAGTTCTAGGCCTCAGTTGGCAATATGCAAATATGGATACATCCTACGCTAATTTATTAGTGAAAATAATAACAACCCAATTCCGATAACTAGGTATGGAAGAAAAATGACGAACATCAGAATAAAACCTGGAAAAAAAAGTAAAAAAAAATTACCTTTAATAAATGATCTTTTCTCTAAAATTTCACTGGATTCAAGTTTTTGTGTCTCAAGAATATTCCTCTCTTCTAGAGCTATAGCCTGATCACCGTTGTTTGACTGCATTTCGTGTTCTTTATCTATGTCTATTCGTTGCTTGTCGCTGAATCTTGTCCAAAATGTCAGTCGGTACAACTGTTAAGAAAAATTCAACTTTTGACCACGAAAACATATTTAACAATTTTCAAAACCTGAATATCGGAAGCAAGTATTAAAACTCAACAGGGTCTAAAAACAAATGAAAAAAATTCACACACGAAATCTTAACACATAGACATTGCTTTACGAGATGGGACTTGGAGAAATGAAATACCCTTCGCTTTGCAGAGTTTAGAGAAGTTTAAAAAGCTTTTCACACACACGTATAGTGACGTCGTCCGTACTATGTTTCAGGAAAGTTGAATTACCTGGATTGGGAGTAAACGTTCAGTAGCTGTTTGCTGATTGTTTAATATAAGCTTCATTTGAAAATGTCTCGTTTTCAGCTTTCAACGTTAGAAACCGAGTTTCCTTACCCGTGGTGGGCAGAACACAGGTAATCTGATCATAAGATTCACTCTTAAACTGAAACGCAGTTTTTCGTGACAAATTCCATCAGTTTTTTTTAAAGGATTATCTACTTAATCCGTTAACACATTCCTTATCTTTAAAAACAAGGTTAACACAAAGATTAAATGTGTCATCTAGAGGCAGATTAGTGAACACAGATTCAATATCTAACCTGGCTAAATAAATGTCTTCATCAAACCTCATGTTTCGAAAATTATCAGAAAAATCAAAGCTGTGTAACTATTAAAAATAAACTCAATTAAAGACGAACATAAGAATTTGGAGAGTTTGTATTAAAAAAAAAAAAGGCCCATGTTAGAAAGAATAGGTCTGATAGGGAAATCAGGTTTGTGAATCTTAGATAGCCCATAAAGTGTGCCAGCGTGGGAACCAAGTGGTCTAATATCATTATAAGTATTATCATGCAGATCATTAGTTTTCTTTAAGCCTATCAGGAATTTAATCAATTTGCTCTGTTTTGAAGCGGTATGGTCTTTCAATAGTTTAGTGTTACTAATTACTAGTGTGACTTTATCAATGTAGTCATCTTTATCCAAAAATAACTAGCTGTGTATTTTCTTTGTCTTGTTTAGTAATGACAATATTACCTTCGGATTTGAACGTGTTTAGGGCTATAAATCCTTTTTTTTTATGCCTGACATTATAGAATTGTAACCACGAAAGGGTGATCTTGCTGATATGTGTTCTAACATTATTTAACCTTTCATTACAAAGTGGGTAAATGTCACAAGTTTTGAGTTTTCTTAACTAGGGTTTAAAAGGAACCAAATAGTCACGATACCAAAGTTCTCCCGGTACTAGAGAATATCTTAAGACCCTAGACAAAACCCTTTTCATCTACTTCCTCAACTGTAGGCCCGGCATGGCCAGATGGTTAGGATGCTCGACTCGCAACCTGCGGGTCGCGGGTTCGAATCCCCGTCCCACCAAACATGCTCGACCTTTCACCCGTGGAGGGGGGCGTTATAATGTGACGGTCAATCACACTATTCGTTGGTAAAAGAGTAGCCCAAGAGTTGGCGGTGGGTGGTGATGACTAGCTGCCTTCCCTCTAGCCTTACACTGCTGAATTAGGGACGGCTAGCGCAGATAGCCCTCGTGTAGCTTTGCGCAAAATTCAAAACAAACAAAGTAAAGCTTTTTCAACTCGTACTTTAGATCTAATTTCAGACTTCAAAAATTTTGGTTGAGTGTTTCGATATTGTTTGTCTTTCTTCAAAGTGTCATTAGCAGTCTGAAGACTGAAAAAACTTTAGAAAAATGTTTTACCAATATCTTAGAAAAGAAAGACGGTATTTATGTAAGGTAACAAAAGTTTTCTCAAACTTACAAAACAGTCCGAAAAATCTTACGCCGTACCTGTCTTTTAGGACCATCAATAAAACCATTCAACTATTACATCTATTCGGGTCACTGAACCATGGAGTCCCAAAGCTACAGGTAATGATCTCTCTACCGTACACAACTTCAGACTCACGAATCTTGAAGAGTAAACTATAAACCATAGTTTAGCTACAAGTTTTTCTTCAATGTGTATTCAGACTTTTCTTTTTCCTGGTTTAAATATCGTACCCAGGTTTCTGAACAGTCACACGTTGATTATGAATATTGTTGCCCAACGTGTGGGGGCGCTTACGTCGGACCGACTGTTAGAAAATTGGGAACATTTTAAGCCTAGTTTCAAGGACACTTCAAGCATTGTTTAGCATGCATTAAGTGAATGTCATTTGGTCCCAACCCTCATCATGTTCAAAGTAATAAGTAAAGCCGAAAATGAGACTATGCAACCGGTGAAGGAGACCCTTTTAATCCTTCATATGAAGCCTAGGTAAAACAATCAGCAAACAGGTAATGAACGTTTACTCCTAATTTAGGTAACCATAACTTTATTTAAACTTTCATGCCCAACTGCGTAGATTTCAGTAAATATTTCAAGCACACGGTTTCGTAATATCATTAATGTTTTTCAATTATCGTTAGGGTTACTTCACACATGTTGTTGAATTGGCACAGCTAATAAATGGTTTTGTAACTCCTTTAACGTTTCTTTATGCAGAATTAATTAATTAATTAAAAAACTTAATGAAAACATATATGTCATCAATAACATGATACCACGTGGTTTATGGTATAAAATATAAATTCCTTAGTTAATTAAAAAAACAAAAACATTATGGTTTTGATTAAATTGAGATTTATTGTACAAACAAGTCCGAGTGAGTCACAAAAAAAAACACCTACAAACAGAAGCTTTCTTAGTTAATTTCCTATAAATATGAATCATAAAGTTCTCAAATTTACTTATGCTTCAGAACTTACATGTTTTTTATCGATAGGTTTCGTCAGAAGACTGAAAGTTACGGTGCAAAAAGCTGTAAAAAGAAACTGAATACAAGCGAAATGAAGATAATGTATTTCGGTGAGTATCCCGGGGCGACTGTCTCTTTGACTGCTACTGCAATGTGGTTCCTGGTACACAAAATCCAGTACAAAACGAATGATTCCCATTACCTGGCCACACATCAACCCCCAGAAGGCACCCTGTTGAGAATCAATGTCAAACATGTGACAAACGTAATAAGAAAATACACTTAAAAAACGGCCTTTTTTTTTTTTTAGACAAGCAATTTACTCCCGTTAAATAAACTAGCACGGAGCTCAAGAAGCTACTGTTATAATGGTTTATATTGTTTTTTTTAAAAAACGATTATTAGGCAAAACTAAGATTGAAAAGTTTAGTAACATAACGAAAGTTGTTTTATGAATTCTTGAACTACAAGTTCCAGAATTAACCCTAGCTGCTGTCCAGTGATAAACTTAAGCTCAGACTTACTTTCTAGTTTCCCATGTTCTACAAAACTTTGCAATGATACGTTACTTATACTGGAAATCCTTTATAGGCCAGTTACAAGTGAGGTAAATAAAAATGTTATTTGGTGATACGATCATTTTAAATAGCTGGCGATATCCTAAATACAGCCAATAAGAGAATAAGATTCTTCATATCCAAGGAACTACAAAGAGGTCCTTTGGTTTCATACGTTATATAATACTGACAGAGTTTTACGGGCAATATTTGTCACCAAACATAAAAGTACAGGATTAAAATATATATATATATATATATGCACTGATGTTTTGACTTTACCGTGCTAATACAAAGAACATAAATATCTTACATTTTGAGGTTAGTCGCGTTAACAAGTAAAAATTAAACCTACTGGTTCATTGATTCGTTCCCAAAACATAGCCAAGATGAAAATCGCTGACACAGGAGGTGCTAAGTAGCTGGTTACACTTTGTGTGTATTGGTACAGTTGACTGCTATGGGAAGACTGTACTATTGGAATCCAAAGTATACTCACAACCGTCATGAATAAGACAAACACCCTGTAATTTCAATAAGAATAGTACAAAAGAAGAAGAAACGTATTCTTGAAATTGTTGACTGACGTACAGTAATAGAAAGTATTATTAAACAGTCCAAGTGTATCACAACTAGAAGACACAAAAACGAGCAATAAACTATATTTGAACTTATTAACACACAGGATGTCTCCCTCAACCAGGGGTGAAGTAATGTTGTTGGGTGGCAGGGTAAGGAACAAGAAATTACGGTAACTCTTTCTTGGGGGTGTTGCATCCGCCGTTGGAAAGTCCAGAATCTGTTGTATCCAAATATTTAATCCATTTGATGGTGACGTGCTTCGGTCGGGAATTATGAGCAGTCAAAAGGTCACCGGGATTTAGAGTGACCGTACCTCCTTACTAGCAACAGTCACACGTACGAAATGGTTCTTTTTTGTTTTTGATTTTCAGATTAAATTATACAGTCTTTGATCATTATGGGGTTGGAGATCTTGTTCTTGATCTTCTGATCTGGCGGAAGATTACAACTATTATCACTACCCTCTTGTCGGTACCACACCGATTTTTAAATGCCCTCACAGCAACTTTGGGTTTGATGGATGAATTTGCTTCGAGAAGGGTTGCCAAAAAGTCCATTGTGATCGAACCAACAGCGGCTGCACAGATTGAGAGTCGAATGTCTCCAAACTTGGTGATTGATGGTGACGTGCCAGAGAGTAGCAATGGTCAGCCGGACTTCGTGCTACTTGCTCAAGATAAATTGGGCTCCGGTCTGAAAAAAAATAGATGCAACGATGGGCGAAGAAGAAGAAAATTCCCGTAGAGGACCCGTCGGTTAAACCAGGAGAAATACTGTCGTTAATTATGGTTATGTGACCAGTCGTAGGTTGGAAAGTGTAAATTGTAATTGTCATATTTCATCGCACCCTACATCCTTTGTAAGTTTCACCAAAATCGGGTAGAACCCGGGATATTTTACGTTCGATCCTTGCCACTCTGGTTAAGGTGAGGGGGAGATTCTAAGTTAATGGTAGAAAACGTTATAATATTAAATAAATAATACAGTTTTATAATACACTAGTACTTTATATGTGAGCACTTTGCTTTAAACACCTTGTTTTCATAGTGTCGTGGACTTGATCAAACGTGGAATATATGCTTGTGACTCTACAATCCAGCCACGTTGTTTGGTCGTCTAAGTTCTTCCTAAACACACACAGCTTTAAGAATGTTCACATCAAGACTTTGTGAAGGCCAAGCCATGGTTGTGAGTATTTAACTGGCCCCAAGATATCATTTTACTACATCTGCTTGGAATCATTATCTTTTATGGAAGATATATATTCCTACCTGATGAGTAATTTCTCTGGAGGAATGGTATGGTGTATCGGAATCTGTATATGTTTGTCAGGGTAACATCAGTTTTGTGTGGATTATGAATACCATTGGATGCGATACAATCCCCAACTTGTACCGATCCCTCACCATGTATATGTTTGTCAGGGTAACATCAGTTTTGTGTGGATTATGAATACCACTGGATGCGATACAATCCGCAACTTGTACCGATCCCTCACCATGTATATGTTTGTCAGGGTACCATCAGTTTTGTGTGGATTATGAATACCATTGGATGCGATACAATCCCAAACTTGTACCGATCCCTCACCATGTATAGGTTTGTCAGGGTAACATCAGTTCTGTGTGGATTATGAATACCATTGGATGCGATACAATCCCAAACTTGTACCGATCCCTCACCATGTATATGTTTGTCAGGGTAACATCAGTTTCGTGTGGATTATGAATACCACTGGATGCGATACAATCCCCAACTTGTACCGATCCCTCACCATGTATATGTTTGTCAGGGTAACATCAGTTTTGTGTGGATTATGAATACCATTGGATGCGATACAATCCCAAACTTATACCGATCCCTCACCGTGCTTCCCTGTGGATATTGTTCATTGTTTATAACACTATCCTTCTCTCTTTTCCATTGAACGAACAATCGTTGATGGCTACCAAACAATTCGGACTTGGATTCATTAGGAAAATGTACACACGTCTCCAAATGTTTGTTCTTCAATATCCATTTCAAACTTTTAATTTAGTTTCCTCTTTTCAGCAGTGTGTTGTTGTTGTTTTTTAACCGCTACACGTCCAACGAGGCAACTCCTCGCTCATGTTTGTTTTCCGGTTCTGTATATACAGCAAGGTTATTCTCCAGGTCTGTATTGAACGGTCACATGTACTTTGTAATGAATATTCTCTGAGACAATTTCGCAATGTCCTCTTCAGAATCTTGCATACAGTTCCTACTGAAACATGAAGTCTTGTCGCAATATTTCACCAGCCAAAAAACTCTGATTTCCAATTTGCTGGTCATGTAATATTTCATCCCTGATAGCTATAACTACAATCACAATACTACTACTGGGCACATTTTAAGACTGCCTGTACGTTTCTAGATTTTGTACTGATGCGGAACTGGTTGTATCAACACGTGACTACACTACAGTGCAATTTATTTCCACACGAGGATGACATTTGCTTTCTATTTCCCTTTTCCTACTGTTCTCATAATTATTTCCATTGTTCTGATATTTCTAACGACTAAGAACACATCCCGAGTAATAAGAAATATATATATATATGTCTAATAGATTTGTATAATTGAAATTAAAATGTAAAAGATCTACCGTCCAACAATGAGAACCTCCATTTCGGACGCTTGTTTTCGTATTCTAATCCATATATCGATAGCAAACAATGTGGAACTACTGTTGAACACGGAAGTTAGTGACGTCACTAATGCTGCCATCATGGTGGCTAACATTAAACCCGTGGCGCCTAAAACAAACGAAAAGGACAATACTTATATCTGTGTTTCTTGGTTAGTTGTAAAAATAGATAAACTTCTGTTTCATTATCAAGTCGGAGAGCGTAGACATTGCGGTGTCGAATGTTTTGATTGGTTCTGTCTTGTTTCTTTAGTGGTGTCGAATGTTTTGATTGGTTCTGTCTTGTTTCTTTAGCGGTCTCGAATGTTTTGATTGGTTCTGTCTTGTTTCTTTAGTGGTGTCGAATGTTTTGATTGGTTCTGTTATGTTTCTTTAGCGGTGACGAATGTTTTGATTGGTTCTGTCTTGTTTCTTTAGCGGTGTCGAATGTTTTGATTAGTTCTGTCTTGTTTCTTTAGCGGTGTCGAATGTTTTGATTGGTTCTGTCTTGTTTCTTTAACGGTGTCGCATTCAGTATGGACACCAAAACTAAAGAAACAAGAC